CAAAAATTGCATTTTTTCATTAATTTTTATAAGTTAACAGGCAATATAAAAATGACAGTTTTATCCATTGTATTCAATACTAGAATCAACTGGTTGAAATGATACCTGCTTAAGTGATGCTCAGATAGTAAGTAAACAAACATGCTACACCAGTGCTCAGGGAAAACTGTTACATGGTTAAAGTTCACTGATCCTTTTACCTACTCACATCTGCTTTTGAATCCCACTAGTGAATTTTTCATTTCAGTTGCTATATAGCTCCATCATTTCTTTTTGGTTTCTTTTTAGATTTTCTTTATTTCCACTTCGGTCATATATTTCCTTGACTTTGTCCATGTCTTTTAGTTCCTTGAACATACTTAAGATAGTTTAAGATCTTTGTATAAGAGATATATTATCAGATCTTTTATAGAACAGTTGTGTTGATTTTTTTTTTCTTTCTGAATAGGTTGCATACATGTATGTTCCTGGTTTTTTGTATGCCTTGTCATTTTATCTTTTTCTTGAATGATGCATATTCTCCTCCTCAGACATTCTCTTTGTTAATGTTTTGTTTTCCTGATTATTACAGGCTGCCAAAATCAGCCTGAGTTGTAAACTTAGGGTCTTATCAGGTATTTGCTGCTGAGCCTGCACATTCCCAACATGTATGGTAGCTTGAGTTTGCCCTATGTATGCAGTCACTTTTTAATATCCTACTCTTCAGTGTCTGTCTCCAAAAGGGAAAAAAAGAGATACGAGGGCAAGGGGAAAAGCCCCTGGAAGTCACTCTAGCTAGAAGTGGGGAGAGTATGTCACAGTGGGGGATGCACAAGAGCAGTGGCCACTGCCTCTTGGTCTGTACCTCAGTGATCAGAAGAAGCAGTCGTCAGTGATAGATCCTCAGTATTGGAGGACAGGATCTTTTTTTGTCCATTCTTACTCCTGCTCCATGAACACTGCACAGCTACCTGCCACAGGACTCAGGGAAGGAAGATGATAGTTACTATCGTACTGAAGTGGAGAGTGACTAAAATGAATGGAATTTACCATCTAGATCTCCCACCTGGAAGTTGTGAGTCTTCAGTAGACTCTGTAGAGTTCCAAGAACTGGAAACTGGAAATCAGATTTATCCACTGCAGTCATTATCTAGGTAGAAAGGCATATTTATACTTTTTTTTTTTTTTTTTTTTTTTTTTAAACCAGGATCTCACGGTGCAGTTCAGGCTGGCCTTGAGCTCACTTTGTAGCCCAGGCTGGTCTCGAACTCAACGATCCTCCTGCCTCAGCCTCCCAAGTGCTAGGATTACAGGTGTGCACCACCACACCCGGCTTGTTGTACTTCTTACTCTGCCATCTTCCCAGAAATCTATCCTGTTTATGTAATCATTATAACCTACAGTGATCAACTCTGATAGCATTTAACTCTTAATGTAGGGTGTCTCAAACTAGAATCCAAGATGTATTCTCTGGGATTTGTGAGGTCAAATTGGGAGGGGTGGGGAAGAACACTTGTTTATCATTTAATAGGGGAGAAAGATACACTAAGTAAATAAATAATGAAACTTAGATAAATGCTCAGAAGAAATAATAAAATGTAATTATAAAAGAGCCTTTTCTAAACTTCATTTTGGCCTATTTTTTAAAAACTGGTTCTTCCAATTTTTTAACACCATTTTCAAAAATACATTTTTGCCCTCTGAAATTTTTGTGCATGTTTCACTCCATTATGAAGCAATCACTACAAGATTTTTTGTTAATGAAATGGAATAGTAAAAGTTGGATGAGCAAAATCAAGTTTCGTAAGTGTTGTTTTTAACAGGGATCAAATTTCTTAGAGTTTGTTAATGCCTCCTTTTGGAATATCTTTGCTCCTTTACTAACTCTCCCCTAATCTCTTAAGTAATTTTCAGGGCTTTATTGTCCAAGTTGAAACGTACATGATGCTATATAGTTAGTAAACAATAGTAATAACTAAGCATTTATATAGCTTCCAATCATGTACAGCATACTTTCATTTATATTACCTCTTGGAGCCTTATGTAGTCCTCTTGGATGTGAGCAGATAGATATGAATGGTAAAATGAGGTGGAAAGAGACCTGAAACCAGGGCTTGAGATACAGTGTCACTTGAAGTGAAATATGGAAAAAAATTTTAACTGTATTTGAGATAACTTTAAAATAAACTCAAATCTTGCTGTTTAATTTCCTTGTGGGTAAGTTGATAATTACATTTTACCTGTTCTGCGACCTGCTGTCCTCCTTAAGATTCTTAAGGTCTTAAACTGGCCAGATTAGTTGTTTTCAGTTTTCTTGTTCTTTACTTCAGGTACCTAAACATATATGTTTTCCACAGTCAACTTTTCTGTTTCATCTTTTTGAAGCAACTGTTCTTTAGCTTTGTTGGAAAGATAGCTTCAGGTTTAGTGCTAAGATACTGAATCTTTTTAAGTTATAAATATCATACCTTCCACACCCATTCAAGTTACTGTTCCCACCTTTACCAAATTGGAGAAGTAAGAATACTACTTTATTAGATACCATTTCTGTATATTGTTACATGGGAAATTAGAATATCTCAAATTAGTAGTTAAAGTATAATTTATTTCAAGATAGATATTTTAATTTCTCATCTGTAAGCTCAGTCACTCTCAGATATTTTTATATTTTAGGTGACTAAATTTGAGGCATCTGTATCTGTTTGTCTCTTGAGCTTCATTTCTGTAGGCTACTATTTTGAACCATCTTTATGTCTTTTTCAAATTGCTAGGTATTTTTTATCATCTTAATATTAGTTTTGATTAATCCTTAACATGAAAATTTATGGGTTTTGTCCAGTTTCAAATTTCTTGTAGCTTTCCTTCAACTGTGATCATTCATTTTAATTTTGAGCTACATGTACAAATAAACCTGTTACACATACATTACTTATCTAATGTTCAAGTCAAAATGGCAAGTCAGTTTTATCTTTATTCCAAAATGAAATTTGAACAATACAATCAGTTTTATGGTTTGAATGCTAATATCCGAATAGCAGTCCTAACTCATAATATCTCACAGTTGCTTTAGCTATTAGCTTTGTATAAACTGATTACTTTTTTGACTATAGTATGATTTCACTTTTGTTACACAAAAATTCAAAATACTAAAATGTGTGCAGTGAGCTCTTATATACTTATCACCCAGGTACAAGTCAACTCATGTTCACTCTTAGTTGATTCATAACACCTACTACTCCCAGACCTCCCAGTTTTACTTTGAATGTGAGACTTTATATCATTTGTTTGTATATATTTCAATAATAACAAGACTTTTTAGATGCATAGAATCAAGAGATAACTTGAATGCAATGAAGATGAATTGATAGTGACAGGCAGCCAACATTGTACTAATTTTAGTATGAATTAGACTTCGATAAACAATTTTTTCCACTATATGTTTGCTTAAGTAAGTTGAGGGGATCAAATGGCTTTCTTCTCATAATATTTGAAGTGTTACTTGTTTTGTAACTTTAGACTTGTTCTTTCTTATTCTCCTCTATAACAGCTTAAGCAAAATACAGTGACATTCTACCCTGAAATTTTAAAGAAGTGAATATTAAGAGAATGATTTCAGATAGTGGTAAAATCACAGCTAAGTTCAGTTTTACTTAAATGGCAATTATAAAGTAGAATTTTTACTAGGTTAGATTTTCAGTGGATCACAAGTAGACATATTTAATGGTAGGATTGAACATACAGTAAATGTTACGTTTATATCTAACAAAGTATTATACAGCATGCTGTTTTATGTATCCCAAATGCATACTGTATAATTCTTTAACCATGAAACTGTGTTGTCTTTAAGAATTTTATCATATATTCATTCAGATCTAGTACTTTGCTGAGGATAATACATTATTTGAATTCTCAGTATCTGCCTTTTGTAAATATACATTTGGAAGAAAATTGAGTTATAATGGTTTTTTTTATACAGCTTTTATATGTAAGTCTAGGAAAATTGTTTCTAAGCACATCTCCTAAATTTTGTTTAAGGGATAGTCACCTTTCTTATCCTTCAGAATGTTGATTTAGTACTTTTATTTTTGAGACAGCATCACACTTCGTTGTGTTCCCTGTCCTCAATGTCCTGGGCTTAGGCAATCCTCCTTCCTCCACCTCCTATATTTATTTAGTACTTTTGTAATCTTAAAGTATACAGAGGAAATAGTTCTGAAAGGAATTCTGTGAGTTTTCTGGGATTTCTCACTTGTTATTAATTAAATTTTCTCTGTTAGTGTCTCCACATATAAATCACTTCTAACTTAATTAGAAAACCAGTTCTTTTCATTTCAAACTTAGTTAGATGTACACTATTCTACTTGCTTTTCATGCTATAACAAACCACTACTCTCCAAGTGATCTGGAATAACAATGGAGAACAATAGTTTCAGCCAAAAATAAGCTTTTTCTGGGCAGCAAAATGATTAGAATATTCTTAGGATCCTTGGAATAAAAAAACTGGTATTTCTACAGAAGAGTTGTTTTTTATTACACTAAAGAATATTCATGAATATTATAAGAAATTATGGTTGGCTTCTTTGTAAGTCTTCACATTTTATCTGTTTTAGCAGAATTAGCAGCTTACTCATCAAGAGCAAATCTAATATACCTGCTTATATCTACTTTTTTCACTTGGTGCTAGAAGCTGTATGTATGATTTAACGTATGGAAAGCCCATATAGAGCCAGGATAGTGGCACATGCCTGTAATCCTAGCACTCGGGAGGCTGAGGCAGGAGGATCACGGTGAGTTCAAGACCAGCCTGGGCTACAAAGTGAGCTCAAGGCCAGCCTGAACTGCATAGTGAGATGCTATCTCACAAAAAAGGAGGAAGAAAGGAAGGGAGGGAGGGAGGGAGGAAGGAAATCCCATATAAAATTATAGCTTAAGAAATAGCAAGTCTTTCATACAAGTCAAACATTAATATGCTATTTTTATTTTCTTGTTAACCTAACACATTTACAATTCTTTCTTTAAAGGCAAATCCTCCTCCGGTACTGGTCAACACAGATAGCTTGGAAACACCAACTTATGTAAGTTCTACTTCCTCTCCACATTTAATGATTTTGTCTTTCCTGTTCCGTTTTTGATACAAAGATCACACCATGAGTTTGCCTAATACATTTTACTTAAGGTGTTCTTGCATTTTGTATACCATACCTATAATTGCTTTAAATGAAGCAATACTACCCTGTTTGAGTTGCTTTTTTTATACTTATACAAAACAAAAATATTAAAATAGAAATTTATGGTTTAATTTTGAAATTATGATGGTTAACTTTCAGTAAAGGATTTCTCTGGCCAGTAGTAATTTACATAGTAATATATATTCAATCATTTTAAAAGTCTAGTTGAGTAACTAGATTTTTAGTAAACAGGTATGTATGTATGTTTGTGTTAAAATAACTTTATATTTTTAAATTGATTAAATTTACCCTTTTAAAAAGTTCTCTTTGTTTTAAAGATGAATAACCAAAAGAGTAGGATTACTTAACATTTTTACCTCAAAGGAAAATATCTGGCCCAGAGATACAGTTCAGAGGCACAGCGCCTGCCTGGCAAGCACAAGGTCCTGAGTTCGATTCCCGTTACCAAAAAAAAGGGAAAATATCATTGAAGATAAAGAAATAATGTCCCTGCTTTCAAGTAGAAATAGTGCCTGTCTGTGCTAGGGGTGGCAGGGTATTTTTATCAAATCATTTTACAGACTATGAAAATCTTTTTCCCATTTTAAACTGATTAATTTTCAGACTATAAAACATTTTGTTCAGTTTTATATTCTGTTTGTATTTATATGAGTATAGATGTATCAGATATCTGAGGATTATGGAAATACTTGAAATAATAAAACAACACCAAACTATAAAGAGTGTTCCATGCCTTTTCCAGATTCTTTTTTTCACTCACTGTTATCTTTCACACTGAAGTGGAATATGTAGTCAAACAAAATTTTCTTTGTACTTTTGTAAGCGTTTTCTTCACATTTCTTTCTCTTGTTTTCTTTGTTGAAATACATTTTGTTGAGGGGGTCATCAGTGATTGAATGTTTTTAAACTCTTTCAGCTAAAAGAGTATTGGATGAAAACTTAACAAAATTATGGTCTCATAAAGGAAATAAATGCACAGGCATTTTAGGAAAATTGTCAACAAATTGAATGCAAGATTAGTATACCAAGCAAAGGAAGTAAAAGTTGTATGATTTCTAGTCTGTGTGACTTACTGAACAAATACTTCTCCTACTAAGCAAGGTATATCGGGAGTCTCCAAGGCCACCCCTGTGACTACAGACTTATTAGAAGGACTCCAGAAAATAGTTCATACTTATAGCTAGATAGAGAAAGGATCTGGATTCCTAGGCTGTATGACTGAAGGACAGGAAGAAAGGTAGACTGATTCCAGTTGCTCACTCAGAACACATTTTTTTTTCTGGCTACAGTCATCACATCTCCCAAAATTAAGTAACTGAGTAACTAATTGAAAAAGCTACATACCGTCTTACAAAATTCAGAACACACAAAAGAATTTCCAGTGAGATCTTTCTTCAATCCCTGCTCCCAGTCTTTCATCCCTTCACCTAAGGCAAAAGTAGTAGTAGTTTCATGAATACCCTTCTATGAACATTTATGTATGCAAGTCTGTCTATATACTGCTTGCAGACTATTACCATTTAAGATCAATGCCCTAGTGATAATTTTGTAGGTATTTTTGTTTATATATACAAGTACATAATTAGAATACATTCATATAAGTACAACTGCTTAGAAAGTGTGTTTAGATTTATTATTGCCAAAGTACATTTATTACCTGTTTATACTTCAACAGAAATTTATTAATGTATTTTTATCCCAAACTGTCAAGTGTTACTGAACTTTTATAATTTTAACATAATTTTAAAAATATATAAACTTATTGTCTTATTTGCATTTGTTACTACATTTTTCTACTTTTTCACCTGAAAAAGTTATGTTGAGAAATTCACATGCCACAAAATCCACTTTTAAAGTATATAGGTCAGTGGGTTTTTAAATATTCACAGTATTGTATCATCATCACCACTTTGTAATTTCAGTACATTTTCATCACCCCATAAAAAAACCCTGCATCCATTAACAATCACTCCCCATTCTGCCTTATGCCCAGCACCTGGCAATCACTAATCTATTTTCTGTCATTGTCTATCATTTGTCTGTCCCACATCTTTTATATAAATTAAATCACACATGTGTGGCTTTTTATATCTGACTTCATTCACTTAGGTTAATGTTTGAGCATACATCAATAAATCATTCCATTTTATTGGCAAATAATATTCTGTTGTGTGCACATACTACATACCCATTCATCAGTTGATGGGCATTTGGGTTGTGTCCACTTCTTAGCTGTTATAAATAATGCTGATACAAATATCATTACAAGTTCTGTGTTTCCTGTGGGTATATATCTAGAAATGGAATTGCAGGGTCATATAACAACTGTGTTTAATGTTTCAAGGATGTGCCAAACTGTTTTCCAAGTTTAGTATACCATTTTGCACTCCCACAAGGAATTATGAAATTTCCAGTTTCTCCATACCCTCACTAATCTTCTTAATCCTCACCAAGGACGTTACAGTCTTTTTCATTATAACCATCTTAGAAGTTGTGAAGTGACACCTCAGCGTGGCTTTTACTGTTCCCTAGTGATTAATGAAGTTGAATGTTTTCCATGTGCTTATTGGCTGTTTGTGGATTTTCTTTGGAGAAATAACTATTTAGATCCTTTGCTTATATTTAATTGGGTAGTTTTCTACTGTATTTATGCTTTGTACGAGTTCTTTAGTTTGAAGACAAGTCCTTTATTGGTACATGATTTATGAAAGTTTCTTCCTGTTATGGCAATTGTATTTTCTCATTCTTAATAATACCTTTTGAAATGCCAAAGTCAAATTTATATATTTTTCTTTTGTCACTTTTGGTTTTATCACAATGTTGTCACTGTGTTTTCATTGCCTGAGCCTAAGCTACAGAGATTTTCATCTTCTGTTCTTAGATTTTTATGGTTTTAACTGTTAAGTTTTAAGTCTGATACACTTGGGTTCATTTTTAATTCCTTTCAATGATGTTTGGCAATTTGTGGTGTACAAGTCTTTCACTCTGGTTAAATTTATTTCTAAGTGGTTTATTCTTTTGATGCTTGTTGTAAATGAAATTTTCCCTTTATTTTACTTTCAGATTTTTCATTGCTACTCAGTAGAAATATATTTGACTTTAGTTATTGATCTTTTATCTTGAAGCCTTGCTGAACTCATTTATTAGCTCTAATGATCTGTTGTGTTGATTCCTTTGGATTTTTATGCACAAGGCATAGTGTCTGCAAATAGAGATACTATTATTTCTTTTTCAACCTGGATGTCTTTTCTTCTTCTCCCTTGACTAATTGCCTTGGTTTGAACCTTCATTACTATATTTAATAAATGTGGTAAGAGTAAACATTCTTGTTTGTTCTTGATGCTTTGGGAGAAAGGTGTTAGTTTTTCTCCACTAAGTATATTGTACTCAGTTTTAAATAGTAATTGACATCATTCCAGTGTTTCTGAGTTTAATTTTTTTCTCCATCCCCATGTGATCCTTAAATAATAAAAATGTTAAGGGAGGACAAGATTAAGGACTAAATTTTAGAGTTCTTAACTGTTTGCATAAAAGAGAAGAAAATGAAGTTAATTGTTGAAGTAATGTGCAGTGGTACCTTGGTTTGTGAACTTCATTTGTTCTACAATTTTGGAAAAGATCACCACATTTATGTTTGTGTGCGAAACATGGCTGTGATCGTGTTTGTCACCCAATGCAGAGTTTGCAAGCAAAAACAAAATTTTGCCAAACACTTCCATTTGCAAAAAATTATTTACAAACAAGAACATTCATGAAGTAAGGTACCACTGCAGTCTCCATCTTTCTCCCTTGTCTTTATTTTACTCAAGACAAATCCTGAAAGCTAAAGGTTAGGGACATTCATTCAGCTGGAAGTTGGTAGGTTTCTTACATACTGAGAACTTCACTTTTTCCCCATATAAGGTAAATAATAACTACAGTATTTTTAAATCAACCAAAATTCATTATTTAGAAAAAATTTTCAGCAAACTCTTTAGGAGTTATTACTTTTTATTGGGTTGTTAATTTTTCATTAGGAAGAACATTTTCTATTCCCTCGTACATATTTGTTTTTAAAATTTTGCTTTGTGGTGCTATATGCTTTGAGGTTTTTAATTGCCTGAGATTATGCATTAATAGGAACTATGAGTATTGATAGCTAAGATCTTGGATGTTAATGTTATTTTATAGTTAGGAAGGTATTACTAAACAACTGATAATTAGTAAATTAAAGTCTTGGGACCAAGGACATCTGTGTTCTGAATTCTTTTGGGGTTTTTTATGGCACATCTGTACCAATAACTAAAGTCAGTTGTATTAAAAGGAAAAAAAAAACTTGCACAATTTAAAAACTACACAGTACATGCTATTGCAATATGTGAGCAACTACCAGTTGAAAGTATGGGTCTACAAACCATATTAACAGAAGTGTGAAATACTAATCAGTCAGCAAAAAAAGAAATGTGTGGTGTTTCTAATAAGAAAACTACTGAAACTTCATTAAGCAATTTGAAAGAATATGTAACCAGAGAGCAGATCTTATTGCAGAGTAGGAAGATAATATACTGCTATTTTCTCCAGACTTACCTATAATTTTTTTTTTGTAACATTCAAAGAGGGAAAGAGTAAAATGAGATTAGACAACTTTTTTTTTAAAGTTTGAAATTTCTTCTTCAATTTTTTGAAAGTTTGAGAAGGATTAGTGTTTGGTAGAATTTAGTCATTAGGCCATTCTACCTTGGGGTTTTCTTCTATGAGAGTTTTTTAATTTCTCATTCATGCTGTTGGTCTGTTACTGTTGGTCTGTTCCGAATTTTTATGTGTGATTTAGATTTGTTAGGTTTATGTTTCTAGTAATTTATCCGTTTCTTCTAGTTTATCTTACTAATTTTTTGGCATATAAGAGA